CTCCCCATTGCTCTCAGAGTGTTTCAGAGGTAAACCAGGGATTTTGAATGACGTTTTATGCACACCAGGCTCTGCCTATATATGAAAGACAAATTATTTTTTTTCCACCTTCATTCTTACATACTCAGATGTCTTGGTTTATAGGCAATATTAAATATCATCCTGTATCCCATTCCCAAACCACGTTAACCACGTTTTCATGATCACAAGTATTACTAGCCCTATTCCAAACATATGAAAACAAATGTTGATGTTAGAGCATTCTGTGTATGAATCATCTTTAACTTAAAGTCAGAAAGAAGATTGTTTTATTATTGCAAGAAAATAAACAATTCAGGGCTGCTTAATTACTTTTAACTCTTCTGAATGAAGGAATATTCCCTACCAATGGTAATACTTGAAACGAGGTCTCCAGTTGGGAGTCCGTAAAAGCGTCTGAACTGCACAAGCCAGATTTACAAACATATAGCACATAAGGAAAAACCTGTTAAAAAGAAAAGAAAAAGAGCATTTTCCAACAGGAAATTAACTAGACAGATTTGCATTAAAAGGCTGAACACAATCCAAAAAAGGGTAGGAACCTGTACACTGTATTCACAGTGGTCAGTATAACACAAGACAGATTAAGATTAAATTAATACTTGTAGAATATTAGGCCTCAAAACATGGTATTAGCATAATATAGAGCCTCAAACAAAGATTTCAGAGAAAACATAGCAAACAAATGGCAATCATGATGTACTGGTTTTGACTGGGATGGAGTTAATTTTCTTCATAATTGCTCACATGGTGCCATGTTCTGGATTTGTAACCCAAAGTGTTGATAACACAGAATGGCAGGGGTTGGAAGGGACCTCTGGAGATGATCTAGTCCAACATCCCTGCCAAAGCGGATCACCTACAGCAGGTTGGCATGGGATTACGTCCAGGCAGGTTTTGAATACCTCCAGAGAAGGAGACTCCACAACCTCTCTGGGCAGCCTGTGCCAGTGCTCTGCCAACCTCAGAGTGAAGGAGTTTTTCCTCATCTTGAGACTGAACTTCCTGTTCCAGTTTGTGCCCACTGCCCCTTGTCCTGTCACTGGTCACCACTTAAAAGACTCTGGCCCCATCCTCTTGACACCCACCCTTTAGATATTTATAAGCATTGATGAGATCTCCTCTCAGTCTACTCTTCTCCAGGCTAAACGGACCCAGCTCTCTCAGCCTTTCCTCATACAAGAGATGCTCCAGCCCCCTAAACACATCTTCATAACCCTCCGCTGGACTCTCTCCAGTGGTTCCTTGTCTTTCTTGAACTGGGGAGCCCAGCACTGGACACAGAACTCCAGATGTGGCCTCACCAGGGCAGAGGAGAGGGGGAGGATAACCTCCCTCAACCTGCTCAGCAGGTCAATCCCTAACCTGCATCAGTGCATGGGGTTTATTCCTCCCTAGGTGCAGGACCCTACAATTGCGCTTGTTGAATTTCATTTGGTTCCTCTCTGCCTCCACCCAGCTCTCCAGCCTGTCCAGGTCTCACTGAATGGCATCACAGCCTTCTCCTGTATCAGCCACACTCCTGGTTTAGTATCATAAACAAACTTGCTGAGGGTACACTCTGTCCAGATAATTGATGAACTGAAGCTTGCCTATGAGGGTGTTATGGGAGACATGTCAATAGCCTTACTAAAGTCAGGGTAGACAACATCTACTGCTCTCCCCACATCCACCCAGCCAGTCACGCCATCCTAGAAGGTTATTGAATAGTCAGGCATCATCTCCCCTTGGTGAATCCATGTTGACCACTCCCAATAACCTCCTTTTCCTCCACATGCTTAGAGACGACTCTCAGAATGAGCCGTTCCACCACCTTTCCAGGGATGGTGGTGAGGATGACTGGTCTGTAGTTTCCTGGGTCCTTCTTCTTGCCCTTTTTGAGACTGGAGTGACATCGGCTTTCCTCCAGTCCTCAGGCGCCTCTCCTGTTCTCCATAACCTTTCAAAGATGATGGAGAGTGGCTTCACTATAACATCTGCCAGGTCCCTGAGCACTCATGGGTGCATCCCATCAGGGCCCATGGAATTGTGGACATCACGTTTGTCTCAATGTTCTCTAACCCTATCCTCCTCAACCAAGGGAAGGTCTTCCTTTCTCCAGATTTTCTCTCCTACCTCCAGGGTCTGTGATTCCTGAGGGCCAGCCTTAGCAGTACAGACTGAAGCAAAGGTGACACTCAGTAACTCCGCCTTCTCTGTATCCTCCGTCACCACGGCACCCACCTCATTCAGCAGTGGGCCCACATTTTCCATAGTCTTTCTTTTGCTGCTGATGTACTTGGAAAAGCCCTTCTTGTTGTCCTTGACATCCCTTGCCAGGTTTAATTCCAAGTGGCCCTTAGCCTTCCTCGTTGCATCCCTACCTACTCTGGCTACATTCCTATATTCCTCCCAAGTGGCCAGTCCCTTTTTCCACATACTGTAAACTTCCTTCTTCCATTTGAGTCTTTACAGGTGCTCCTTGCTCATCCATGCAGGTCTCCAGCCTCCTTTGCTTGATTTCTTACTCATAGGGATGCATCGATCTTGAGTTTGGAGGAAATGCTGCTTCAATATTGACCAGCTCTCTTGGACCTCCCTATCTTCTAGAGCCCTAAACCCCATGGGATTCTCCCAAGCGGGTCTTTGATGAGGCCAAAGTTAACTCTCCTGAAGTCTAGGGCTGTAATCCCACTTATTGCCCTGCCCAATCCCTGCAGGGTCCTGAACTCCACCATCTCATGGTCACCACAGCCAGGGCTGCTCTCCATCTTCACATCCCCAACCAATCTTTCTTTGTTTGTTAATACAAGGTCCAGCAGCACAGCACCCCCCTCCTAGTTGGCTCCTCCACCACCTGTGTCAAAAAGTTATCATCAATGCTCTGCAGGAACCTCCTGGACTGTGCATGCCTGGCTGTGTGGCCTTTCCAGCAAATATCAGGGCGGCTGAAGTCCCCCATGAGAACCAGGGTCCACAATCGTGAGGCTACTTCCAGCTATCTGTAGAAGGCCTTATGGACTTCCTCTTCCTCATCAGGTGGCCTGTTACCAGAGAGGTAATAGAGAATGCAGGTTTCCCTGGAGGGGTGCAAGAGGATCCACCACAGCCACGCACACCCTTGAGGTGGTTGGCTTTCTGGTTCTGTCTTGGGAGGCAGCTAAGGAACATTTGTTGCTGCTCTGGTTGACCTGGCTTATTCCCCAGTTGGATGTGATGGCATGAGTGTTGCCACTTTGGACTCCATCCCCTGAAGTCCTTCAGTTTAAAGCCCACCTCACCAAGTTGGCCAGCCTGCTGCCAAAGATTCCCTTGCCTTTTCTAGACAGGTGGATCCCATCCCTCTCTTAACAGGTTGTAGACATCAAAAAATGTCCCATTGTCATAAAAGCCAAAATCCTCATGATGGCACCAGCTATGCAGCCAGTTGCTATGCCTTATACATCTATTTCTGGCTGCCCCATTCCTCCAACTATTAGAATGGAGGAAGAGAGAACTTGGGCACCAGTGTTTTTCACCTGCACCCCCAGGGCTTTTATAGTCTTCCTTGATTCTGCCCAGGTTCCAGCTTGCAGTGTCATTCATGCCCCCATGAAAGAGTAACAGGGGATAGTAGTCTGTGCTCTTGACAAGTTGTGGCACCCTCTCACAGGGATGTTTTAGCTGTTGCTGAGCAGCTTACACCCAGCATCAAGGCATTCTCTGTTTTTCTTGCTGCTCTGCCAGCAAATAGTCTTAGAGAGGATACACAGTTGACCACAGGGATATTCAATACTGTATGACATCATGTTCATCAGTAAGAGGCTCAGCGAAAGGAGAAAGAAGGGGGTACATTTGGACTTACTGTTGTTTGTTTTCCCAAGTGACAGTTACACATGGTGAAGTACTGCTTTCCTGGAAATGGCTGAACACCTGCCCCTCAATAGCGAATGGATTCTTTATTTTGCTTTGCTTGCGTATGGAGCTTCTGCTTTCCCTATTAAACTGTCTTTATCTAACCCACGAGTTTTCTCACTTCTACCTTCCTGATTCTCTCCCCCATCGCACTGGAGTGGGAGTGAGTGAGCAGATGTGTGGGGCTGAGCTGCGTACCAGGGTCAACCACAGAACATGGGATAAACTTCCAAGATAAAAGTCAGTAAAATAAATTTGGTTCATTCCCTAAAACAATTTAATGTTTTCTCTGTCTCTATTAGATGCACTTGAGCTAAAATAGCAAGAATTTTTATTTTAAAATCGAAGTTTTTAAATTTTACTAGCATTGAAGAACTTTGTCATGGAAAAAGTTTTTTGTGCCTAGAAATTAGTTCCAGCCAAAACATTTTGTTGTTTCATGTTACCTACAGGATCAAACAGGAATATAACTAGTTAGAAGACAAAGTCCAGCATGTATTATTTCAAAAAGAAAAAATCATTACCTAGTTAATTTAAAAATAAAATACTATTTAACTGAAGAACACAAAACACCACATTCATACTTACATTGAAAGAATTGGTGCTACACTATCCAATGAGGCTATCAAAATTCCTATTTCACAAATACCAGCAGTGAGGAGCAGAGCCCAAGTTGGTTCTCCATTTGCTTTTCCATGACCAAATACCTAGTTCAATTCAAGTAAAAAAGCTGTTCATCATACAGTTATGAAATATGGCACAGATTGTGAGCTAACTCTAGTAGTCATTAGTTACAAAGGAAAATGAAGCAATCTATACTACAAAGAGCCACAAACAAAATTGCAAAAACACCCATTTCCAACATGAAAAATGTTTACTAAAATACGCAATGACTACATAACATTAAAGTAGAAATAATCTTAAGTAATTTAAAATCCACATACATCAGAGCTTTATGCTTAGTCTATTAAAAACTAATATAGTTGAGGGCAGTATTTTTTATAACACACAAAACAGGCATCAACTCACTACTTAGGAACATAGATATTGATCTTTAAAGAGGACTTCAGCAAGCCTATGATCCTGCACAGAGGCCTACGAAAAATCATTTTGCAAGTGGTAATTTCCCTGGGGAGAATTCTATCCAGCTGTACTGGTGATAGATGGCAAAATGCCTCACCTGAAGTTCCAGCTGTATTTAGTCTCCCTCATATTCCTCCATACAGTTATAAAGAACTAAACCCTCACTCCCATTTCCCATAACTGCCTCCTTTCCAAATGTCTAGGTTCTTCGCCTCACTCATTCTCCACGCTGCCTTCTTCCCTTAGTTTCCTGTCATCCAGCAATCTCCTTTCCTTACATTAAAATGTCATTTTTTCTGCTCATGTTTCAAGTCTTTTGGGTTTTTTTTGTCTTAAATATGTCATACTCTTGCCCCTATATTAATCTTCTTGCATTCATTACCTCGATTGTCCATGTAGTAGCTGTATTACTGCAAAACTGCAAGCACTTTTCAAGTCTCAAAGCCCTCTTCAGACATCCTGCTTCTCCTGGATTCCCTTTCCTTCCCTTTCCCTCACTTCCCAAAGCACATAATTTTTCTCCTTCTGATTCTTCACGCCTTTCAAATGTAACCCTGATAAGATGGAATTGTACTGTCACCCTCTCACCAAGTACCAAATTTTTACTTCAGACAAAAGTGAAATTTTTTATTTGTCTCCCTCAATACAACTCCACATTTACAATTTAATGTATTACAACCCCTTCACACTCACAAGTCAAACTATCTTCTGTCCCCCACCCCAGCATACTTAGTGCATTTACTTCCAGTTATAGATAAAGGTCTTGCAAGTCAGGCAACATGCCACTGCCCTCAACTGTAAAATAAAGCAGCAGCATATTTGATATTCTGGCACATCCTCATCATCTTTCTCCACCCCTGGTAGAAAAGATACTGCTAAACCAAGGGAATGATGATATAACTTTCTCAATGAACAAGTTGCCAACACTGCAGATGCACAGCAGCTCAAGCCAGTAGAATCCAAGACATAGCAGTTGCATTTCCTCCTAGCAGAAGCACTGCTGCAAGTGCTACTGGCAGAACATTCAGGCACCAGAGGGGCTGCAGAAGCAGCAGCTGATGTCTTTTTAACTTGTTTGCTTCTTGATTCGTTAACCCTTCTGGCTCCTGCTCCCAGTAGCAATACAAGTGTATATTTCCAGTGACCATTCTCCCCTCCAGCCCAAGAGAAGAGTAGGACATAAGAGAAATTTCAAGGATATAGCCCTATGGAGACTAGGCACTAGCAGACAGACCAGGGAAGCAGCAGACTGGAACCAAGTGATTAAAGACTCTGAAAGAAAAAAAGTTGGCAACAGCAGAATGATCTGCCTTTAAAGAAAATTAAAAAAAAAAAAAAATTAAAAAAACCCCACAGCACACAAAGACAACCCACCCCCCTAAAGCCACTATCACTACCTCTTCCATTTTGCTTTGCTTCCGAGCTTTTCCAACCATCTCCTCTAAACCATCCCCTGTACAGTCCTTCCCCCTCTTCACTCAAATCCTTTCTTATTTTCCCATTCCCACATAATCTGTACATCTGCCTCCTCCTCAGATGTTCCGCCCCACACACTCCACTCAAATTCTCCAGCTAACCCATCATTCATAATAGTCCTAGGCACAACCTAGCTTAGGAAGTCAAGCTCCTCAAGGCACATGATGTGTTGACTCATTGTAGGCTTTCCCCGAACTCAGAAACCAAACCAAGCTGTTGCTGTTCTATACCTAGCCCTCACTGAAGATAGATTATAGATATCTCTGAACAGAGTCTTAAGTTATGCACCAAGAGTAATAGTCCATTTTTAACATACTATGCTGACCTCAGATGTAGGACAGTGACCTAGAGCACACATCTGATCAAGACTCCAGAGGTAAGCATGGGTAAAGTACTCAAACTTACTGCATCCAGCTCTGGGGTCCCCAGTACAAGAAAGACATGGACCTGTTGGAGCAGGTCCAGAAGAGGGCCACGAAGATGATCAGAGGGCTGGAGCACCTCTCCTATGACGACAGGCTAAGAGACTTGGGATTGTTCAGCCTGGAGAAGAGAAGGCTCCAGGGCAGACCTAATTGCAGCCTTCCAGTACCTAAAGCGGGACTACAGGAAAGATGGTGAGGGACTGTTTATCACGGAATTTAGTGATAGGACAAGGGGTAATGGCCTTAAGCTGAAGGAGGGTAGATTCAGATTAGATGTTAGGAAGAAATTCTTCCCTGTGAGGGTGGTGAGGCACTGCAACAGGTTGCCCAGAGAGACTGTGGAGGTCCCATCCCTGGAAGTGTTTAAGGCCAGGCTGGATGAGGCTTTGGGCAACCTGGTCTAGTGGAGGGTGTCCCTGCCCATGGTAGGGGGGCTGGAACTAGATGATCTTTGAGGTCCCTTCCAACCCAAACCACTCTATTATAAGTTTGGTCACATAACTTAGGTATCAATAATTGTAAAAACTTCCCAAAGAGATATATAAAAACAAACAAGTGCTCCAAATCATCGTCAGGAGTCTCTCCATACATAACAGCCTATTCTAAATTCAGTCCTGTACTATCTGCAATTTCTTTATGTGCTAAATTTGACAACTGTCCCCTAACTCTGTTTCCAAACATTCATAGTTACTCAGACATAATCCTGTTTTTTCATACTTGAACCTGTTCTTGGTAGGTTATCGTTATGTTGTGCAACTGTTGGCTATTCCTGGCAATTTCAGGTAAGCTTTCAAACTCCAAAATTCACTACAGAAATCACAATCTTTTGCAATGTTATTTATTTTTAACTCAGGTCTAGTTGTCTAGTTGCAGATGCAGCCCAGCAATTGTGTTAAGTATCTTCCAGCAAGAGTCCTCTTATCTTTTTGCCAACTCCCTTACTTCGAGAAAAATGTGATTTATTTATTTTTAAAACATGCACAGAGATGTCAGAACAATCTTAATGTTTGGAGTCATGGGACAGAATTCTATTGTTACTTCTTTGTTGACTTCATTTAGCTTACAAAAATGAATAAAAATTAGAATTGTATCACTATGATATGAGAAGTATCATAGTGAGATTGTCAAGTCTGTTCACAAATACACAACCTAGAGTCAAGAAGTTCAGTTGTTAGTTGCTTCTTAGTTCATTTATTTCCATTTATAGAGGACTAATATTCTCAGTTTTGAACCAATAACTTTTATGTGTAAGAACAAAAATAATTTAATTGCATTGCACAGAAATATCGAAGTTCAAACTTTGTCCTACACTAGCTTGATGTATTATTGCACACAATTAAGAGCTGAGCTCCAAATCTTTTCCTCACAATTCCACAGGAATAGCAGAAATAATGCCTCATTTTTTTGTCAAAAATAAGCCATATTTGAAGTACAGTAAAGAAAAAAAAATCTCACTTGAATAAATGGTACAATGCCATCTCTTGCAATGGCCTGCAATAGACGGGGTGCACCAGTGAGACTCTGGAGACCAGCACCACATGTTGAAAAGAATGAACCAATCACAATAACCCATGGAGAAGGCCAGGCCAGTGTACCAACGACTAGATTTTGATTAACTGCTTCTCCAAACCTTAGGGAAGGGGAGGAAGAAAAAAAAAAAATAGAGAAAAAAATCAGTAAGCATTAAAATAACTTTTACTGTAGCTTCAACACTGACATTTCAATCTTTTTGGACAACATCACTTTTCAACAATAAACACCATGTCACAGCAGGCACTACAGGATTTCCCAACCAACCAATTTCTCTTTATTCTGCTGTTTTAAGCAAAATGTATTATAATTGATTCATTGTAAGTGCTGCCTCTAAGCAGACATGCAGCAATTATCACGTATCTTGGCAAACTTTACAAAATTAACAGCAATAGCAAAAGTATTTACATATGCATCCTTTAGATCCTTGTGACTGCTAGAAACTAGATTGCAGAAGTCTGTTCTACAAGTAATACAGGTATACCCTGGGGCAGAAAAAGGAGATTCACAAAACAAAGCATTAACCTTTCCTTTTAATAGTGTGACACTGACATATGGACAAGCAAATGGAGAAACTACTAGACACAATCATCTCAAGTTATCCACATCACATGCCTTCTGGCTGTTGTGCTACCTGATAGGATTTTTAAATGACTATGGAAAACAAGTGGGTAGAAGTCAGGAAGAGGTGCTTTTATTACAGTCCTGAGTGTCCCATCCAATGCCACTGCTTTTTTTTTTTTTTTTTTAAAAAGGTAATTAACTTTATGCTAATTTACGGACATCTTGGGTAAACTACAAAAAGGTTCTTTCCTCCCACCCCCCCAAACTGATGTTTTCTTTTAAAAGCAAGCAAATTTCTTGTAGTTCATCTCAGTTTTGCTAGTAAGTCTTAAGACTGATTTGGGCTGCTATCTACACTGTGATAGCATAATTATTTTTTTTTTCCAATGTTTGCATGTTTTTTCAAAATAAACACCAGAGAAAAGGCTACAGACAAAGAAAAATTAAATGCTTTATGTCTTTTCAGACCTGCTATTTAACAGGGTCAAGAAACACAGTAATCAGGTTAGTATAAGCCAGTGTTCAAATTATTGCATATGCCCAAGCTTGGATGCACAGCTACATAGTATTTCCAGCAGATGGAAAAAGGGGAAACCACACTCTCTAAAAATATAGGAGAAAAAACATATTATGCTTCTATGACAACATTTATACAGCTGCACATTCATTCTTAATTCAAATTCTAATGCCTGTGTTTTAATTAAACATGGGGTAGGAACAACTTGAAAAGATGGAAGACAAGCACTGAAAGATGTACAAGCTACTTTTTCCCATGGCAGATGTGACAATCCATAATGGCAAAAACACCCCCACAACCAAAAAAACAGTCTTTAAACCAGATGAAAATCTATACATTTTCCTGCTACACTGGATTTCAGCCAAATAAGAACCGGCAGCAGCGTAAAGGAAAGAACATGGATTCAACATTCTTGCTACAATGCATCCCTGCTCTAGTGACAGATTGCCTGCACTCACAGCTTGCAAGATTCCTTCCCCATAAGTTTCAAACATGTTACTTCTAAAAATGTGAGTTTATAGATATTGGCTTTGCATTAGTTTATAATTCAGAATTCATTTACTATTTATTAAGCATCAGCTTGATTTGGTTTGTGCATTTACTTTGAAGAAAAAGAAATCATAGATTCTCACTAATGCAGCAATACCATTTTAAAATAAAAATGATCCCCTGATGCTTCTTGTATTAGCTTTGATTAGAATCCAGCTTTTAACTTGATTTTCCTTTCAGACTAAAAGTTTGTGTTTTGAACTAAGTTGTCTCAGCATCAACTTCCAAACAACACCCCAATGCCACTGCTTCATCATCAAAAGCAAACTTGGGCCTTAGTAAGAAAGAGAACCAGACACCAGCAAGGAAACAAATGTGAAACCTGCCAACAGATTCGTCTTAAGTCAACTCAACTTTTCTTAAGGGAGAAATTTATCAAAATCTGGAGATTCTGTTCATGCTTATTTCCATGACATTTATTCCCTTCATGTTTCGTATTGTGTCTCAAATATCCTCAGGCAATTACATGGGTGAAAACTGACACGACCTCTGATTTACAACTGATATTTTAAAACAAAAATAGTCCTACATCCAGTGGAAATTATAGGGCTGACGGTGCATTGCAGTCTTTCTCATGAGCTCTCCTTGTGAGGTAACTGTCAAAAAAATCTTTTCGTCTCTGTTCTTCAGCAGCATATTACTTCTCCCAAAGTAATATCACTCCCCTTACCCTCACCCATCAGATCCACAAATAATAACTATGATTTTCTTTCTCAAGAAGATTTTAATAGGGACTGTTCCATGTCGAACATTTATCTTCTATTCTGCTTCTACTCCCTGAAGGGATACAGCCTGATAACCTGACCAGTTTTTGCAGCCATCTCAGTTTAACAGATAGACTTTCACGCCAGTTTTAACCTAAGCAAAAGAAAAATGTATCACGTAGATATTCCCCAAAAGAGCCATTAATAAGTCCTATTAACATAACCCATAATCATACATACTCCCTGTAAAATTAGAAGTTGAATCCGACTTACTTATCTCTTAATATCACACCCTCTATACAGGCACCAAACAACACTATACAGGAGAGATCTATTACTGAGACTGAAGGAAGATTACACTACAGAGAGAAAATCTACCATTTTTCATCTAGGAATGAAATGAAAGTGTCCATGATAACAAAGTGGGTGAGGGGTTTTGTTGTTTTGTTTGTTCTGGTTGCTTTGTGGTCAGTTTTTTAATTCTTCCCTACTACACCTTTTAGTTTACATTCTGTATGACTGCATTTGACACACTGTTAATCTGTGAAGTATTAGAAGTAGCAATTCATACATCACGCAACAGAACAGATATTTTCTCATACAAATAAGCATTTGTGTCTTCTAGGTATTGAAAGACTAACAATTTCTACTGCTGGTAGTTTTCATTGGTTATACTGAGTATAACAACAAAGCAATCTACCAACTGAACCATGATGCTAAAAACCTCTGCATCACTTAACTAAAAACATCAGTTGTATCTTGGAATTTGAAGCACTAGTTAGAATACAGTAAATATATGCAAATATTTATATATATATATATGATTAAAATTTGAGATATTTTAACAATATTTATATTGTAAACAAATTATTTCTTTTCCATTTAGATTTAATTCATTTTATACTCAGGCAACTCTAATGACTTTTCAATGAAAAAACTATATTGTTACACCTACAGAATGCACACTAGGAAAAAAAAGTCACAGCATAAAGGATACAGATAAAAGACGTAGTTGAAATAGCCAAAATTGTTCCAGTAGGAATAGATTTCTGAGCATCCTTAAGATCTCCAGATCTGTTTGAACCTGCCATAATACCTTAAAAAAAGAGACCAAATGTGTATGTCAAAAATAATTAATACCAACTCTGTGTAAATAACTAATAGAATAGGAACATTTAACTTTAAGCCTGATTTAACACATCACTACCAATAGAGCAGGCTACAGAAATATATTATAATCCTGCACAAATCCTCAATTTATACCTTCATTTCATTCAGAAATTTGTGTTACCATCCATTGTTGACTGAACAAATTCCAGAAAGCTCAGGAAAGATAAAAAAAATGAAAAAATATTTTTCAACTTCAGAATTGTGGGGAAATGTACAGGAGTAGCAAAACGTTGGGGACGGATGTTATAAACTAATGGTTATTTAGGAAATTTAGCCAGTGTGACCAAATGTACTAACTTTCTACTAAACAGACCATACATAATAAGATATGCAAGCAAATCAATAAACTAAATAATAAAAATATAGAAACAAAAAAGAAAGGAGCAGGCAGAAAGTACAAGAATGGTTAGGAAGCCACATGTGCACATCCCTGTTTGACTCTAACAAGAGAACAAAAATATTTTCTAGCACATACTGTGACAGGAGGGGAAAAAAAAAATCATACAAAACCTGACAAATTCTGCCATCTTCCCTAGAATTGCCCTGACCACAGTTGGAGGCAAAAACATAGAAGCAAATGTCAAGACGTTCCAGTGCAAAAGCAGTGTCAAACTCAATGCAGTGAAACCTTAACCACAGGCTCAGATATGATGAGAGGGCCTGCAGAAATGGGAACAGTACGGGACAAGAATATGAAGGGACACCTCTGCCTAGTATTCTAGTAGCAAAAACTGCTGCAACTTCATTTTAGAGTTCTGTTTTGTTACTTGATATTAGAATTGCTTGCACTGGGACTTTTGAAGAAAAATGCCTCTCATTATTTCAGTCAAATGTAATCTGAGGAAAGTGATATACAACTGATCTAACCTTCAAGCTCGACAGAAAAATTTCTACTAGTTACAGTTGCAAAAAATATTGGACATTTAAACAAATCACAGGCAGTTCACAGCTTGAATATCTGAAACAATCATCTTAATATTCAACTGTTGTCTCACGCATATAAAGATTAAAATATTTTAAAGGCATGCATCTTCTTTTGAATAAGCATTTAGTAACAAACAGAGCTTTTGTTTTCTTTCCAGACATAGAAAATAGCAGGTAAACTGTTTCCTTAAATAACCAGCTGTCAGCTATGTCTCTCTAGCACCAGAAAGTTTTAGGTACATCAAATCTGGTCACACAGACTAGTAGTATCATGTGTCATCAATAAACATTCACACACGCAAAATCATCTTTTTTCAGCTCTAAGTACACATCCTTACTCAAGAAAAGTAGTTGTATCTACCTGTCACAGACGGGAAATAAATCCCTACAAGCATTGTGAAGTAGGTCATGATGTCTGTCAAAACATAAGGGAGTCCACCCATTTTTGTCTCTTCTGATCCAGCAACTGATGGCTGATCTTTTTTCTCAACTATTGATCCTTTTTCTGAATAGGTACTCCATAGATTATCTACAAGAGGGAAAAAACAGGAGTCAGTGTTTCAGGATATTTAGTGATAATGCAATAATCTTATGAATCACATGGCTTTTCTTACACAAAAATCATGATGTTTCTCAACATTTCCTTATAAAGCCAAGAATGCAACAGCAATATGATCAATACCAATGGTGGACATTCCCACTGTATGCCAGTAGAAATGCAGCAGTGTATGGGACGAGTCATACAAGATTATCTCTTCCACTAAAGAAAGATTTAGTTATAGAATTAAATTTTTAATATATTTGCAGAACACACACTTACAGTGCGGACATATGAATGCATTATCAGGATGTATTGTGAAAAAATAAGGAAATTATCTCCAGGTTCAGGCAATCTTAGCTTATATTCATATTTCTTATTCTTATAGTTTGAAGAGCAGGTAAAAAAAAAAATGCTACTTAGCAGTAACTTGAGTTCTTTGAGACCTGCTATACAGAATAACCATGGACAACAGTTCAGGACTCAGTTGTTCATGGTGAAGGTATTCCACAGGGTGACAAATGCAGAGTAACCAGACTCCCTTAGAGAACTGATTAAAAGAAAAATAATAATATTGCAAACAAAACCCAGCAGAATGTGGCTCAAATTCCCCAACAAACTAAGGATGCTTGTTCAATGAAGACTGACAGGTCAAAGAACCAGTAGCTTTTCAGAGCTTACATTTGTGGAAACACTGTTTGTGCCCCTTGACAAGATGGTGAGAACATCCAACACTGATTCTTATTTCAAAGTGAGACAAGTTGTTGAGGAAACAAAGCAAATACTTTCCCTCCATGTCAAAGGGCCAAAAGGATTTTATACCACAGAAATAAACAATGCCAATGAACTGTCAGGATGATGGATCCAATAGCCAATTTTCAGCCATCCAGTACAATGTAAGGGAATTAAGTACAGTATTCTAAGCCTTCACAACAGCAAAAGGTTACCTTGAGCACAACAGGATATTGTCTCTGAATCTCCATAAGTGGCCAAAGATAGGGTACTCATACCCAGATTTGTAACAGAAATCTTACAATTGGTAAGCATACATGGAAGCATGCATGGGAAACAAGAGACAGCAGAACAAAGATTACAAGAAAAGTATTAATTGCTACAGAATGCTATGTGTTAGCTCATTCAAATGAAGTGGAATAACAAACTGATCTAGAGATAAGACCAAAGTTATAAAACAAAGAGTTAAGGAAACAAGAGAATTGTAAGTTTCAGGAATTTTAGCAAAGCTTTGAAGACACAAAACAAGACAAAATCTCCAAATTAGCATCCACTCCCTCAGGAGTATAAAAAGAAAGTCCAAAAATTAGTTTCTCGTTGCCAATCAAAAGTACTAAATATTTAATGAGGACTCAACAGCTTGTGTCCCTTATTCTTCATAACACAGAAGTGACAGTGGCCTGAGCACTCCAATGCATACAACTCTAACTGTGGAAGTGCGCATGCCAGCATGAATGAGTAAAATCCCCTTAGAGACTTTGTAAAACAGAATAGAAATCACTTTCCCCTTTCATAAGATGTCACACAGAGCTTTGTTACGCTAATTTTATATGCTCATTTTCCCAAAAGTAATAATCCAGGTGGACTTGAAAGTCAGGGTGAGGAAAAAGGGTCACTTCTCAGAAGAGTCCAGACATTTGTAGGGAGGTAGGACCATTCATAGGCCGCTGAGGCTCCTCTAGCAATATTTAGTGACACATAAACAAGATCTGGTACAATGTATCTAACCCAACAACATGCCACTATGAAGCAGAATGATGTTGATGAAAGCTATTTCCAGAATTATTTCCTTATCAAGGTCACATTCACCAACATATTTGGTCAGCTACTTGTAGAATGATTTATTATTGTTAGGACATTCATGGAAGGTATACAGTAAGTATGCATATCTTGTACACAAGTGCCCAGGAAACGCTCTGAGGACTTAACACACTTCCTGAGACACCCAGGCATCATATCTGAGTATTCCCAGACACAGCTGAAGAAACTTTGATGTGCAGAGTCTGCAGCTAAAAAGTCTTCACACAAAGCAGAACATATGCCATGCCATCAGTGGAGGAAAAATCCTCCTTGAGAAATCTTTGCCAGTCAAGTTCAAAGCTTACATTAGGTATCAGAATGTGTGCTCACACTAAGCAAGCAGGACAGGTGATCCACTTAATTTAGTCTTAGCATTATGTGACACTAGGATAGTGAAATGCACTTTTACACAGTAGTGCTAGTTCAAAGACATGTTAATCAGTGAACAGAACCAGAGCATGTTTTTCCAAAAGTACAAAAATCAGTACTCAGCCCGAAACCTCCAAGAATACTGAAAGACCTGAGGTGCTATGAGTTTACCTGAAATCATATTGCTACCCAAGGACTGAAACATGACAAACATGCAGCCAACCTTCTAAGAGAGTTTCAGAGAGATCAGGAAACTAAAGGCTCACAAGTACCATCTGCACATGAACAATTGATAGCAACAACAGCAATGGAAAGAAGCAGTAGAGACAGGGGTGTTATCTTTGAGTTCTGGAAAAAAAAACCAGCATCTATTCACAGTTTTTTCTTGAGTTTTGAGGAACATGGAAAGCCTCAGCATAGGTTTTGTAAAAGAAAATTGTCAGAAGTGTTCAAATTCCTTGACAGAAACATAAATGAAGGCAATCCACTTAATTCAGTCCACCAGGATTTCCCATGTTTTTGAAAGATTCCTCATCCAAGGAATCTATAGTAGCCATGGGATAAGAGGAAAACTCCTCATAAGGATTAAAAAAAGAAAAAAGTTCAAAGTTAGAAAACAGGTAAGAGTAAATGTAAATATGGTTTTACAATGCAGGAAAGTCACCGGTAAGCTTCCACAAGGATCAGTAGTGGGATCACCAGTGCTTTCTAGTACACTCAAACAGCCTAGAAAGGGGAGCTAGTACCAAGATGAGAAAGCTTACTGGTAATAGTTATTCAAAGTTGTAGAAGCAAAACCAACCGCAAAGAGCTACAGAAAAACCGTATCAGCCTCAGTAACTGAACAGAATGCAACTGATGAAATTCACTATAAGTAAGCATCAAACAATAAAAACCAGAAGGTGTATCCCTCACACTGAGCTTTCAGCAGACTCTCAATGGTTGTTACAGATCTTAGCATTACATGACAGTAGAATAGCAAAATGCACTTTTATACAATAGTGCCAGTTCAAAGAAATGTTAATCAGTGAACAAAGCCAAAGCACATTTTTCCAAAAGGAAGAAAAATGAGTACTCAAGCCTGAAACCTCCAAAAGCAAACCAGCAGTTTAAACCTTACACTGTAGCAAAAAAGTTAGAACATGCAGTTGTCTTCTGAGTTGGGGCAGGCAATATAAAAATATTCAGGAAAATTCGTAGATATGCACATGATAAATTATAAAATGCATAGAACAAACCCTAAGTCACATTTCTTGAAACAAACATTTCAATTAAAAAGAATTTCATTTTTCATTGAAGAAACTGAGTGATTTTTCTTAAACAGATTTAGATTCAGAGAAGCCCATGCTTCATTTAAGTATCTTTTTATGTATTTATACACTTTATAGCTGATATTTTAAACCAAATTACTATGGCAGTAGTGATTGCCTAGTATCCCTATGTAGAGTTGCATATTTATATAAATCAAATCTTATTTTGAGCAGAAGCCGGGGAGAGGTATCAGAGCATCCATTTCATCCCCGCAAACATTCTTTGTTTGCATGCAATACAAGCCATTACATGTCCAAAATGAATCAGGACCCAGTGCAATTGGAATCCCAAGCTGCCACAACTGTACAGGAACATAAACAGAAAAAAATCTATGCGTATTTTAGAACAACTCCTGTCCAAACGCTAGCCTGGAAGCTAAAAAGACTGCTTTTCTCCAAACCCATCACTAACTTGCTATATCACATGGGACAAGCCACAGGACTTCATTCCTCAATGCGCCATATGTAAATTGGAAAAAAGTTCTCCCTCGGGAGTTTGAGAATGTATTAATGAACATCTTATAAAAATAAGTGTATTTGGCATACAAAAGAGCTAAACACCTTTAAAAAATTAGCTGTGATAAACACTTCCATACTTTTTTTTTTTAAATAGAACAATGGCTTTTTTAAAAACGCCTAGAAAACTCCAATGACTCCCAAATTAAAGCATTTGATGCTAAGCTTCTAAAACTAGGAGAAAGCATGCCCCAGGTAACAATCTTTCACACAAACAGATTAGAGCTAAAGAAGCAGTGACAGACTAGACCACTACAGTACTGAACAGCTACTGGCCAAATCAATAATGTCCAAAAAACCTTTTAAATGACCTTTTAAAATGCTTTCCAACTTACCAGTCAGAACTCCACTCATTATTCCTGGAATGCCTTGAATTTCTGTTACATTATTGAGACTAAAGTAGTCATCACATGTAGCATTAAGCAAAGAACTATCACAGAACAGGCGCCACAAAGTTGTAGTCTTTGTTTCATTATTGCTTTCAGTAAATTTGGCACAGATATCAAAGCTGCGTTTTGACAACGTACGGTTTCCAAGGAGACAGATACTATAAAAAATAAAAACAGTGATCTTTCAATATAGTGTCGCACATTAAACCATTTTTTGTCCATTAGACTTCTTCAGAAAACTATTATTCATAGTAGCTATCTTATGGCCTATACTACATACACTAAAGTAGTATATAGTCTCTGCATATAAAACTATCACCAATAATCTTTAAAACACTGATCAAATGTTTCTACTTTAAGGAATTAATAGCTATTTTGGCTCCAGCAGCTTGGCCACTAAATAACAGTGATCATGATTCATTCAGTATTACAAGAAAGAAGTGAAATTAAATAATACTTTATATAACGATGAGCCCGACCAAGAAAATACACAAGTAAGATTAAGCAAGTATGTCATGCCCTTCTCTAGCAAATAAATATTTTAGATGGCCCTAAAAATATTAAAATCCAAAAGGCAGGAAATAAGAGGGTTAAAACAGCAAAATTTTAAAACATTAATGAGAGTACAAATTAAAGAATCACATAGCAGGAAGCAATTAAAACACTCAGAAATTAAAGAAAATTAGAAAACTCAGAACAATTTGCAAAAAAGCAAATTCCTAACAGCAAAGAATATTAAGGATCTAGAAATGTTTCTTTCCTAAGCTACACAAAAGATGTTTAGGAGATCTCTATTCCAGGCTTGCTTAATAATGAAATGATATCCAATATCTATGAAGACAAAAGAAGGAACATAAAAATAAAACATTAGTGTTAGGCAGATAAGTCAACACATAGTACGCATCTAATATTTCTGAAGGAGCACAGTTAAGAGGCTGGTAACAAACAGTAAAAACATACCGCTTCATGGAAGCTTCTTCCAGTTGAATTAAACTGGGAGATCATAAGGTAAACTATTTTACCATCTACACAATGGCCAAACCTAATGGAGGTTAGGGATGCCAACTTAACTAACCAGCTAAGCAGAAGCTGGTCTCTTTGGTGATGAGCTCACCAGCAGATCAGCGTTACCATAATATAAAATCACACTGAAGTTTCTCATTCTGAGACAGACTGGCCAAAATGTGAACAGTTATATTTACTGGAAAATAACCTTTATTATTTTTCCCCCAAACAGTAATATATCACAGTAACAGCCACAGAGAAGGTTTCCAGGAACTTGGTAATAAGTCTTACCTATGCTATATGTCCAGATAAACTCTCTATTTACCTATATAGATGACTAAAAGACTTAAGTATTTCCTTACTGGAAGTTACACTTTCTTAGAAATTCAAGTTTTCAGAAAAATGTCAATTTGGAACACACATTTTTTTTCAATAGAAGATGATATAATTTTACAGTACAGTCCACAAATACTGCTTTAATGCTCAATTTGTAATGCAGTCATTAACACTGTAGAGTACTATGAAATTTGTAACATTCATACAGCAAAGGATAACTTCAGTTCTGCGTAACAGATAGCACTTGGTAACAAAAGTTACCAGGCTACTCTGCTAATGCATTCAGCAATATGATATTGTTTTCTCTCCAAACAGAAAGAGATGAACAAAGATGCAACTCACATATCGATAACTGGACAAAAGAAATAATTCTTAGTGAGCTGCAAGAAGTACAAGCTAAAGGTGTTGAGCAGCAGTATGCCACGTGACAACAATAAAATTTTATTTTATTAAAAAGAAGGTAGAAAGCCTTCACAAGCACAAGTGAATTTAACACTGCAACGTCTCCATTTTAAGCAGGGAGAAATGGAAATTTCAAAGATTTCATCATGACAAAAAGTTTGAAAGTGTTTCTTTCACAACTATAGTTCATGGCCACAGCATTTTCTTGAAGCTTTTACATTATTCTATAGGGTTTCAGTTTATTTCTTTAGATAAAGCAGATATATTTACTGTCAGCAAAAAACACCTTCCTGCTCTTTAGGTGTGGATGGAATAAGAGTCAGTAACTTTAAGTACCAAAGAACATTTTCCAGAGTACCATGTCTTATGAACAGTGAGAGAAAGATTCAGATAGGTAACTCAGAATAACAAATGACCACATAATTGCCCACATAATCGTTCAAAACACATAAAACCTACCACTGAAGTCAGTGTGCTTGTATTTTGAAGTTTAGCTTAAAATATGAAATGGTTACAGTAGCTATTCCCTCCCACACACTTTTTTTTTTTGTAAATAATCCACATTACTTAAAGATACTGCACTTACGGAAAGTCAGGTGGGTCAAAAGCAGTCTTAATAACTCCAGCATATATGGCAATGATGGATAGAATCACACAGGCAAGGAACACCAACGCAAGTTTGTTGACATACTTTACTCCCACAAAAACTACTACAGCCATCAGAATGACAATACATGTTCCATAAACTCTCATGTTGTTCAGCATAGCCTCTGTTTCTTCACCAACCTCTTCTGCTTTAAATATAGCAGCACTTGGAGAAATGTAGGTCTGCAAGAGATATAGCAAACTATCATACATGTAATAACAAACATTTTATTAAGAAATAATTTACTTGAAATTCTATTACAATATCAATTTTATTCTTTCATAAACCAGTTCAACCAGATCACATGGACATTTGGAAAGTGCAGAGGTAAGGAAAGGGAGGCGGGGATGAAGAAAAAAAAGAGTTTTGAGTTACTGTTCCACTTCTCAAATTCATGTCTCTGCCAGACAGGAAAAAACACTAAGGATCATGTGCTACTGACAAAAATTAAAAGGGAAAAAAACCAAACCCAAAACCTAGCTCAGCTCAATCCAGAATCCTTAGATTTATTTGAAGCATTTGCTGATTAATAATTCCATTGACTCTTTGTATTTTCTTTCAATCAAACAAAAGCATGATAAACTAAAAATGTTTTCAGTACTATAGTCCTTACACTATATTTCATAAAATTCAAACTAAGATACCTTAAACATTGTACCTTGAAAAAAGTTTTATGGTGAGTTTACCTTAATTTTTAATCTGAAGTTGCAACAGCACAATTTAAGATTAGTGTGACAAAGCTCAGTCCTGTGCTAAAAGAGGCAATTCAAAGTACTGTAATTTCAAATGGGATTCTCATACAGATCTCAATTTCATATAATTTTGTTCTGGTTCTACCTGGAAAGATGTTGGAAGCACAGGTTTTAGGACTTACACTGATAAATAAAAATGAAAAAAGACAAACTCTGACCTATAGTTCTGAGATATCTGTGTACTACACTACATGATAAAGATATCTTTATTCCTTCGTCTAACACATTTTTAAAAAAAAGTCCACTTTAGCTATCAGGGGAATGTTGGTGCTTGAGGCAACTCCACTCCTTCAAAACAACTGCTAAACTGACTATCTTTAAATCATCTAACTTCTAAAGGCAGGAAGAAACTTTGAGCAGGAGGCTATCCTGATATGTTCAGAACCAAAATCCAAAACCAGGCATTGGCTATTCTTTACTAGAATTGTCTTTAAATTTAATTAATTGAGCTTAAATTAAATTAATTTTAAATTAAATTTAAACCTAGTCAATTAATATTTACTAGAACGCTAGAAGAGATGAAAATTGTCACATCACCATGGAAGAAAACAAAAAAGCAAAATGAAAAACTGATTACAGATAGAGTATTTACACACTGTGATTAGAAAATCCTACATTGTGATGTCGCAGAAGTATCAGGCTCTATATGGAGGTACTCCAGAAGGTTTTCTTGTACTTTGTTGCCCTGCTGTTCACAGCCTTTGCTTGGGAAAGCCACAGGCAGACAACTGATTTCTGCCCCTCTAAATAATCCATGTCCCAGTGGAGAGGGGAAGAAAAAAAAAATAAATAAAAATCAATACTTGTGCCTTGTGGCTGTGAGAGGGGTCTGTTCTGAGGTCTTCTACCAGGTATGGCATCCTGGGAGGCTTTTTACTTTGAATTCCATAGCTAAACCCCAGACACGTTTATTAGCATTACATAAAACCAGCATGACTCTTAAGTAGGGAGAGCAGTACACCAAATCCAATCCACAATGTGAGAAGCTGCTAGTGCTGTTAAATAGATCAGATCTCACAAGCTAGCAGTAGTGAGATTTCAAATTTCACATCCAGGCTTTTTCAAATTTATGACATAGTTATGACATTGGTCACAATAAGTAACAAGAAAGTGGAATTCTGAAGTACCTCCTGTGCATATCTGCATAGTCTCTGATATGATGACCAATAACTGTCTGACCCCTCCTGGATGAGGCAAAGCTACAGTAGCTGGGCTGTTGCCATACAGGCAGTCTTCCACAGCATCTGTAGCGGAATATGGTATTTCAAAGCCAGTAGTCTGAAAAGGAGGAAATGGGGCAGATGCTTAATTCCTGCTTTTGTAGAAGATATGCCCTTAATGTTTTCTGTAACCTTTCACTGGGCAGCAGCTTTCCCCAGTGTACATAGCAGTGACAAGCATTGTAGAAGCTGAAAAGTTCCTGTGAATTATTCTAGGAACACTTGTCTGACGCCAAGCCCACAGACTTTCATGTGGAAGGAGGAGAGGAGTCCTCCAAGACCTTAAGAAAACATGGCTTAAAAGGACTTATGTCATACTTACCTAGAGTAAGCAGCTCTTCCAACAGAAATATAGAGCCACCTAGGTGTGTTGACTGCTTACTATAAAGTAGTTGCCAGTTTTAAAATCTTATAGTCATGACCTCAAAACTAGAACAGTAAAACAGATAATTAATTCCAGTAGATATAAAAAAAGTGGAAGGTCCCCCTGAAGAGCTTACTAAAGGATTCAGGGTTCAAAGGCATACAGCCTGGGAAAAATTAATCAAGATACATCTTGAGAAATTACAGCAAGACAACAAAAGAAAAAAGAAAAAAAAAGTGTTGAAAACACAAAGGATGGGTAGTACCACAAAATCCACATCCTTGTTAGAACTTAAGAGTCACAAGGAAAGGAATCAAAGTCTGCATTTTAGGCCAATTGCATTCCTCAATCTCCTGAAACTGTTCAAATATATTTAATCTTCAGAGAAACTAGTACTTACCAATAAAATTTCAATGGTACCAAGAATGTACATTGCTCCTGCAAAGGTTGTACCCAAGTAGAAACAAAGTCCCACTGCTCCACCAAACTCTGGCCCTAAAGATCTTGAAATCATGTAGTAAGAGCCTCCAGCTGTGAATTCAACAAAAATAAATAAATAAATAAATCTCTAGCCCTTCAGATTAAGGACACAAGTAGAGAACAAAAATTTGAATCATTCAATCAACATAATCAAGATAACTACTGCATGCATCTCCATTGAAATGTTCATACCAAAATTGTATTCAATGTCTACACCAGCTATGCAGTTAGAATGTACATTTCAAAGTGAATATCCCCACATGCATTTTCTGGAGAACAGAAAATAAAAACCAAGGAAAAAGAGGAAAAAATCCACAAGCTAAACAACCTAAAAGTAAACAACCTTAAGAAAAAGATATACAGGTATAAGTAGATGTAAATCAATCTTTAGTTTCTAACCTTAAGCTGTTCACAATCAAACAATAAACTTCCAGAATAATTTCTTTATGACACAGGGACAAAATAGAATTTGTCTTACTAACATGCATTCTTTTTCTTTTCTGTACATGAAACCATTACTACTTTCACTGTAGGTGTTTTTTCAGTACCATTTAAAAGTATTAGGTAGGGATTGCTTTTTCTTGTCTACTCATTTACTATTCACTTTGGCCCTGAATTTTTCAATTCCTCTCACTCAAATTTCCCATATACATGTATTATCTTTAAGTCATAAGCTACCAACCCCATTTCCACTATACAATTTCCCTTTCAATAAGGGTCTACATTTCAAGCTCTTCATCTCTTTATCTAGACTTTCCCCCAACCCCCTGAAGGCATGCTCTTCTCTGGTTCCCTCTCCATCTTCTCTTAAATTCATGTTTGTCCCACTCATGACAACTGAGGAAAAGCAAGAAGACAGAGAAAGAGAGTGCTTTATTTTAAAGGTTGTGGCAGGCACCTCTCTGGTAGGGTTCGCAGCCACATCTCTGGAAGTGTTTAAGGCCAGGTTGGATGAAGCTTTGAGCAAGCTGATCTAGTAGCTAGTCCCACGGCAGGAGGGTTGGAACTAGACGATCTTTGAGGTCCCTTCCAACCCAAACCATTCTGTGATTCTATGAAATAAACATACATCAGCCTTCTATAAAACTAATTTGCAGATAAGAAATACAAATCTAATCAAAGGGCACAGTCTGAAACTGCTTTTCAATATAAACAAATGAGAAACTAACAAAAAAAAGTATGATACATCACCAATACTTTTACTAAACATAATGCTGTTGTATACAACAGCAAGAGACCACATCCTGCTGCCCAGGTCTGTTTCAATCCTTTTGTGCTTTTTGCCTCCTCCATATACTCCAGCAGAAGAAACATTTCTCTAAGAAACTGGCATCAATATAAAAGTGAAAATGAAGACCTGTCTAGTTTAAGAACTGCCAGCTTCAAAGATTTCTGTGACACTCAGATGTTAAGCAAAACCTGTACAATGAACTTTAAAAATATCAAGGGGAAAAGAACAGAACATAGTAGTTATCATCTGGACACTAATTAGAATAATTACACTTCATTATAAAATATAAGTATTTGAAACAAAATTTTCTATTGTATTTATGTTAAATATATGGTACTGTATCCACAAAATGCAATTATTCTACACTCTGCACAAGTTGTAGCATTTACTTTTGCCCAACAATTTATGCGTCAGTTCCACAATCCCTTACTAAGCTGGAGAAGCTCTGCAAGTAGGAATTATTCTAACTGTTCAGAGTTCATAACAATGTCTGAACACCAGTATTATTTGTGTTGAGAAAATGAAAAGGATAGGAACTTCAAAGGCTAACTGATTTTGCAGCTAAAAAAAGTTGGCTTCACAATTGAAGAGGAACAAGTTCATCTATTATCTTGAAAATTTAAGGAGATGAGCATAACCTAGAGTGCTTATACAGAAGATTTCTGACAGCAGACTGGCTGTTATTCTTGCAGAAAACAACATTACTGGCTCCAGTGTTTAGAAGTGGAGTCTAGGCAAATTGGGGGGGTGGGGGGGTGCGCACGGGAGCCTTATTTATAAATTTGTAAAGAAATTTGCTTTGCATGAAGACAAGTCTCCATTAGTTCAAATTCTAACATCTTATCTTTCATTCAAACAATCAAATGATGACAAAAATGTGCTACAGTTCATAGTTCCCAGAAGGTCCACTAAAAGATTGCATCTCACCTTAAATAGCAATTTTAAAAGCAGTTAGAAGAAGATACACACTTGATACAAAAGCATCACTTCTGATATCTCAGACTACAATAATTGCTTATCCCCGCTTTAAACTTCCATCATTTGAACATTTATCATTTTAGGTAAAATTCTTCATTACCTGGAACTACACCATTTGTTGCTATTGCACTCATTGAAATTGCAGTTAGCATAGTCTGTGGAAAGATAAAATAGAGGAAATCTAAAATACTGAAAGGCTTTTGAAAGATGGGGCAAGACAAAGTGATAAAATGAAACTTTGAATTTTTTTCAATCTTTTTTTAAATAAGATGTTACAGCAACCAAAAATGATCATATCTTTGGTTAGGGATATCCATGCAAATTAAGTACTAGATTTTACAGTAGAAGATTCAGTTAATTTAGATGTTTCAGACAGTCTTTAAAAATAACTGGAAGAATACAGACCACTACATATACTTAAAGATGTTCACTATTCCAATTACATAGTAGTGACAAACTGATCAAGTGCCATTGTTATGACAATAGCATCTACTAGTGGTCTTACATTCTGAAATATTAATTTATGAATATAATGCTGTGGATTGGTTTGCAGTTTATATTTCAGTTTGTAGTTTATATTTCAGTTTGTTCTGAAGTTGTGAAAATCAGAACAGTTCAGATGTGTAAATCACGAAATATTTGCTAAAAGCTGATTTAATAAAATCCATATAATATTTCAAACAAAGCTTACTGTGATCAACTCAAAAGAAACTCTACACAGGCTAGAATGACACATGACACTCAGTGCATATATGTATCTATCTATATATCTCCCATGTCTCTCAATTGCACTGATACTTAACCAGTATCTTATGGAGAAATCTTTCTCTGCTACTCATGTATTAGAAGGCAGCAGTACTCTTGTAAGAGATTTGGCCAATAGTAATGAAAAAGGTTAACTTACACAAGCACAACACATGAACACAATGATGAAAGACTCCAGAACTCCAGCTGTTCCCACAATCCATGTTAAACGTAGGAAAAGGATGACGCCCAAGATGTTTTGCAAGCAGGGCAGGTACACACCAATAAAAGTGCCCATACGTGGAACCTGGAAATGAAGTCAGAACATTAATTCCTTTGCACTAGACAATTTAAGTCCATAAGCACTTTCTTCTGCAAACACTTATCACAAATGCTCCATGAACAAATGCCAAGTGAAACTAAATGGTAGCTTCAGAATGTCCAACTTCACAAATATTCATAGGCTGTTTATGCAGAAAGATTCTTGAAAAGACAGAAAACTGTTTATGATAGCAAACCCTCTTGTTCCATAGGAATTAAGATGAAACCATGATAGGGGTAAGATGCCCCTTTACCTGTTGATTACAAAGCTTTACAAACTTTCTTCTAAAATACCAGTTACATACTACTGTTGAAGAGAAGTTACTGCCATAATCAAAATACCATTCTGCAAAAAGTTGATCACCAATTGCTCTGCAGCTGGCCCACAAAATGAAATTCAACAATAAGTTTTTTCAGGTTTTTTTTTAAAAAAAAAAAAAAAAAACCAAAAAAAAAAAACAAAACAGACAAGGTATTATGACAAGGCTGGAAGAAATGCAGAGATGACTACAATTTGTTTTTGCAAAAGTTGCAAAACCTGCCACAACATATATTTGTTTGTACTTTTTATTTGCTGGTGATCATCATGGGTCAAGGCACACACAAGAGCATTCAGGCTTCATCAATAAAGTTCCAGCCTTCTACACTTATGAAGAAATCAGGCTTTGAAATACTCAAAGCAACAGTTATACACAGTAGATTCTCAGATACAGAAGCTCCTCTTAAATCACAACTCAGGCTGTGAAAAAGGCAATCCATTTAAATATAAAGCTCCAATGCTTGTTTAAGTTAACAAAATTATTAAGAAAACACTAAGCTTCCAAGTACTTATAAGAAACCATGGAATGCCATTTAGACTATAATCTTTATTTTTAGCATGTCAGGCAATATTCATGTGCAACATCAATTCTACTGTCTCAATTACACCATTAAAAATACTACTTTGCCAGACTACTACTTAACCATCACTTAATTTTACACATGGAATGAAAAAGACACATGCACAGAAACCGTGTTTTCAGGCCACCAGATGGTGCTCAAACGAGATTAAGTGCAAGTGAGGACACAGTGTTCATTTGGCTAGCCAGTTCCAGAGCGATTAACACTGTGCTGCATTAACAAAAGCCGCTGCACAGCAGCTAGACAGAGATCACGCTAAAGTAACTGTAAGCTGATCAGTCTTGGTATTCTCATCTCTCAAGCTGTTATCTTCAGATGAGAAGAAACAACTACAGAACAAGCACAGTGAGATAAACAAAAAGACACACACACACCCCCACCCTCAAATGCAGGATAAGCAAAAAGCTAAAACGAACAGCTGGACTTTATTCCTTGCCCTTGTCCATTGTCCTGGTACCAACTTCCTACACTAGTCAAGTCCTAATGCAAACAGTTCTACTGCAAACATTAAGTTAACATACCATAATAAATCTCTCTTCCAGTCAAATGAGCTCCAGTTCTAATTTTTAAGTACCTTCTCATATCTGTCTCTTCTGTTATGTGCTCATTCCTTTTATTCATTCATACGTGCTTCTCCTCCTCTCTCCATAGCTCAGTATACAAACTCAGTAGCAGCACCCCTTCTCCTACACAAAGGCAAGTGACTCCTTTTCCCATCATCTACCTTAAATTTCTTAGCTTCAGTCACCATGCTCAACCAGTTTCAGTTCATCATTCCTCCTTACTTGGGAGTTTTTGTACTCTGTCAGGTCACACATTTTTTATCCAAGCTTTCTCCTGAAACAGCTCCCTGCTCAGAGGGATCAATCCAACATATCATTGCAGACTCCAACTGTTGCATACATTCCATTTCCACAGAGGCCTAGATAGACACTTTGAGTATCCAGTAGACAACCGTTGAGGAATTCAGTTGCTGCCTTCTAGCAAGTGTGTTTAGCAATGAGAGTCTTTGCCTTTCCTTCCCACTCTCTCTGATAAATATCATATTTGAGGTATGCAACAAGATGTTTCTTTGGAATATGTCCATTAAGATTTAAAAATACTTACTCTGACACACAGAAACCAAGCTACTCAGAAAAACTGCTTCCATGTTAACAGGAGCAAATATGCTTATGGATTTAAATGAGTGATCTGTTTCATCTGAAGTGTTCCTTAAATTTCAACTTTAGTTAACATACCAGACAGTTAAAATGTATTAACAAACCAGCCAAAAAACCCCCAAAACAAAAAAACCCCACCAAAACCCATACTGTAGCCTCAATAGAGGTAGACAAAAGGTACCAATACCTATACAAGGACAGAAGGAAGAAAAGAAAGGAAGAGGACATTGGATGCACTGCATGTTTCAGGTCTTAGCTTTGCACATATTTTATCTAGAGCTTTTACAGCAAGGTCTTGCTAAAACATGCTAACAAGAACACTGAATTAACAGAAGTCCTACTGCAAACGCTTCAGTTTTAAATACAGTATTACAAATCTCACTCCTGTTTTTAGGTATCCACATATTTTCTTTTTACATTGGAAAATGCTCCTTTTTGTGGCTAGCTTTGTCTCAATAACTTATTTGAAGTTCAAATACCTTGACTTCCTTTCGCTTGCTGTCTTCATCTGCTTCATGTTCCACCACACCTTGAGTCAGATTAGTGTAGTTTGCTAGTTTATTAAGAAGAGATGACACCATGGGATTACTATCCATTTCTTCCTGTTGAGATTTTAAGAATACTGTATTTATTAAACAGTTTTGTAAAATCATGACTTTTAAAAAAAAACTACTTCAAACACAAACTCAACAGGTCAGCCCTGCTGACCCAAATCCAAAATACCAGTCAGCTTTCAATGAACAAGAGTTCTAAATCTTTCTAGCAGTTTAATGCTACGTGGCTATCTGGCTATCTTGCAATATTTCTTTCACTTTTTTACACTCTCTTACAATATGCAGCTTGTGCACCTGGAATATAAGGGAAATCTTGAGAAGGGCCATTGTTAATTGTAAAAATCTATTCCTATCACAATACAGTTTTTAGGGTATTGTACCGGCAGCATCAACTCATTAGGGCGTTTTCCAGCATCTTGCTTGTGTCCAGAGTGGCCTCAAATGATTCTCTCAAGCACCACGATACCGAAGGATCACTCTCAGTTCAAGTGTTGCAGGCTTACATATTTTATTTTAAACCATGCATACTAGTTCCAAAGTATTCATTTGTTGAAAATATGTGCACATGTGCATATCATATGTAATTGCATATATGTAATATTACTTGACACAGAAGTGAGTCCATATAAATATATATGCAGCCAAATATCTGCTATAAAACAAAAACATGCTAAACCAAATAATAAAATCCAGAAGTAGTATATACAATAAACAGATTCCAAGAAAAGCATTATCAAGAATTCAATCAAGTACACAAGATCAAATATTGGAATGAAAGACAAGAGATCAAGATTGCAGACCAAAAGACAAGAACTAGGGCATCTCTGCCTTAGGCATTAGATCATGACAATTATCATTATACCAGCCAAACTTCTTTGTAATACTTTATACAAAAATTCAAACATGTCAGCTGACAACATGAGAAGAGTAAGATTTTAGGAAGCGTACTATGAAATATATATACTAAAAAACAAAAAATTCACCCCTACAACAGCAATGGTGATGAAGTCACTAGGCAGCTTTTAAGGCAACACTGGAACAGCATGGTCTATAACCTGAAAAATTGTGGAATGGTAGACCCACTGGTGTTAACTAACCAGGTGGCCTTTGCTAAATGTGCATCCCAATGCTTGAAGGTCCCACCACCCATTGCTCTCAGTGTAGTCTTTTAACAGCTCATTGTATCACTTGATTTTCCCAGAAGCTGGTGAGTGATAGGGAATATGATATATCCACCCAATGCTATGCTCTTTGGCCCAGGTGTCTATGAGATTGTTTCAGAAACGAGTCCCATTGTCTCACTCAATTCTTTCTGGGGTGTCATGTCACCACAAGACTTGCTTTTCAAGGCCCAGGCTAGGGTTCCAGGTGGTGGCATGGGACACAGGATGTGCTTCCGGTTGTTGCTTCCACCATTGTAAGCAAACTGCACAAACTGCATGTACGCAGCTGCGATCTGCGCATGAGTGTGGGACCCTATATAAAGGAGCGCATGTGCTCCGGTAGGCGGCGGGGCTTTTCTCCTTCTTCCTCTCTTCCTCGTACATCTTCCGGGACGTGCTTCGACAAAACCTGCGATGCTTGGACACCATAGAGGGAGCTAACGGAACATCACTGGACTCGGAGCGGTGGTAATTAGACTCATCCCTGACTTGGTCCTTCCCCCTCTCTACGTCTCTATCTCACTACCTCTCTATTTCTCTGTCTCCCTCTCTCTCTCTCCCCCTCTCTTTGCTCTTCCCTGCTCCCCCGGTTGTCTCCTTCTATACAGTTCTTTTCTCCCTGTTCACAAAAAATAAAGCTAAAAGGTTGTACGATATCTGACCTCGTTTGTGTCTTAATCTCGCTCTTGGGATCGTATTGAAACCTCCCCGATATCAGATCGGGACATTTTAATTGGCGTCACGGACAGGATCCCTTGAGACAAGAGTGTCATACAACCTTATTGTGGTGTGCTGTGCGAGTGTGTGTGAACAAGACATACAAGCAAGTGCGAAGCGAGTGCAGAGTTCCGATCCGCAGTTCTGCTCTCCCGCGAGGGAAGCAGCCGGAGACGAACGAAGCGTAAGGAAGGAACAGATGTTGGTTCCCTTTTATTGATAATTTGTGTAGTAGCATATGGTTTGGCCTCCCGGGGGTATATAGGGGAAATCTGGACTTTAAGGTGTGACCTTCCTGGGACGATATCCCCTTTGTAGGACATGGCTGCCCAGAAGGCAGGCAATATTTGTGACTGTGCGCCCGTAGGGACTGAGGAGATTGGTAAGTTATATGATTTTTTGGAAGTATACTGATCTCGTCCCTCGCTCCCAGGACAAGATTGGGCAAAGGACCATTGGTTCCAATTGCAAAGTGTAACAGACAGAATGACAGTAGTGCAGAAGGAAGCTAAGGTTAAAAAGGGGAAGGGAAAGGCTATTATTTGCGCTGTGTTGGGAGCGTGTTTGGCAGCTGCAGTGGAGGAAATGAAGCAGAGGTCCTGCCAGGCTGAGGCTGTGGTAGCTTCTCTGCAGGCAGCGATAACAGCGCTGCAGGAACAGCTACAAGAAAATAAACGGGCGCTGGAGGAGGAGAAGCGCCAAAACCTGATACTGAAGGAGGAGTTGAAAAACCAACTCCTAAGGGAGACAGACACTCTAGCAGAGGCGGAAGTACCGCTTCAGGAGAAAGGGGTGCGACAAGTCTACCCCTGGGGAGATCTAAAGAGAGTAAAGGAGGCCATAAAGAACCCCCCCCCCATATGTGCCCACTAGTTAAGACGGAATATGTATATGAAAACAACAATGACAATTGCCCCCAGGTTATTACTAAAGAAATTCCTTTCACGGCAACCAAATTGGCAAAGCTGCGGAAGGACTTTGCAAGGACTGCGAGAGAATCCAAAACTGATTATGTTTGGAGCGTGTCCCTGTCAGGGGGAGATGGGATTTTGC